CTAAGTTAGATCCCAGCATCCCAGAGGTGGATGTGGACTTGCCAGCATGTTCCAGAGCTGGTACAAGCCATCAGGGTGTTTGGGGGCATGAGACTTCCAGTCCCCTCTTTGCCCAGCCCTGGTGATGCTGCCAGCTCTCCCCATGCCACTGTGCCCCTTCCTCTGCTCGCTGGTGCCCCAGGGAGCAGCTGCTCTGCCCAGGAGGAGCAGAGGGAAGTGCTGGGACCTGCCCCCAGGAGCTGGGCTCTCCAGGCTGACCCCCAGCCCCTGCCTGGGCCGTGGTTCCCCGGGTGCTGACGGCCTTTGGTGCCTCCTCAGGGGCAGGATCAAGCACCTGGACGTGGTGACTCTGCTGAGACGTATCCAGCCTCCCCTCGGCTTTGGGAAGTTCTGCCCACACCGTGTAGCCTGTAAGGTAAAAGCCAAGGGGGTGGCAGGGTGTGTGGGCACGAGGGCACTGTCCCCAGGCTGTCCCTGCACCTCCCCGGGGAGCCTGAGGGTGACAAGCCAGCCAGCTTCCCAGAGCTGTGGGGCATACACGTGCTCTGACCCCTCATGGCTCGTGGAGGGGAGTGTCCTGGGGGCAAGGGGAGGTGCTGTCCCCCTGCACAGAGCTGGTGTGATCCAGGCTCCTGAAGGAAAGGACTTGTCTCTGCTTGCCCCACACCCAGGGGGTGGCACCAGTGGGCTGGGCTCTGCCAGACCTGGAGCCCTCGGTGCAGAGAGACTCCCAGAGTCTTGTCCAAGCCCCACATCTGGATCTGGTGCTGGAGGGCAAGGCTGTGCCCGAGGAATGAGCACATCAGCTGGGGACAGCAGCTCTGTAGGCACAAGAACACTCTTCCTGGCTGAGCTTGTTCTGCACCGATCCAGGGCCTGCGTGAGGCTCACATGGAAACCTCAGAGGCATCAGCTCAGGCACTGGTGTAAACCCTCCTGGGTCTTGGGCAAACTCATTAGGAGGTTTGGTCCCCAGGACCCTCACAGCAGCCTGGGGCACTTTTTGGAGGCTGGAGCTTGATGCAGAGTAACACCCACCTCCCTGAGCTGTGCTGGGTCTCCTGCTGGCTGGTGGTTTAGTCTGGAGAAAAGGAGGTTCAGGGGGGGAGACCTTATTGCTCCCTACAACAACCTGAAAGGAGGCTGCAGACAGGTGGGTGTTGGTCTCTTCTCAGGAGTAACAAGTGATAGGATGAGCAGACAGCCTCAGGTCGTGTCAGGGGAGGTTTAGATTGGCAATTAGGAAATATTCCTTCACTGCAAGGTTTGGCAAGCACTGGAAGAGGCTGCCAGGGGAAGTGGCTGAGTCACCATCCTTGGAGGTGTTTAAAAACACGTAGATGTGGCACTTGGGGCCATGGTTTAGAGGTGGACTTGGCAGCATTAGGTTTATGGCTACACTCCATCCCCTTAAAGTTCTTTTCCAACCTAAATGATCCCACGGTGTTCCACCAGTGCCCCATAGGTTGGGTAGAGCTGGGGGGTGGAGCCAGGGGGGTCCCTTGGCAGGTAGGTGGGTGGGTGCCCCGTGGGCAGGAGGGTCTGGGTGGCTGCAGGGAGCTGCCAGGAGCTCTGCCCGGGGGGCTGAGGGGCCGTGGGTTGTCCTGCAGCGCCTGGTGTGCATGAACATGCCCCTGAACAGCGACGGCACCGTCACCTTCAATGCCACCCTCTTCGCCCTGGTGAGGACAGCCCTCAAGATCAAGACTGAAGGTGAGTGCTGCTCCTGTCTGCCACTCTGGCCCGATTTGGGGACCTCTCCTTGTGTTGCAGGGGGCTGCTGGCACCCCGTGCCCTCCCTCTGCCCGAGGACACCGAGGGGATCTCGAGCTCTGTGGGGCTGGTTGCTGGAGCAGAGGCCGTGGGCACAACGTGGGGCTGCTTGGGCCAAGCCAGGAGGATGTTTTCGTCGCAGGCCCGTGGGAGCCAGTGCCCCTGCAGCTGCCCTGGGCAGCTCCTGAGCCACGTCCCATCTTCCTCAAGGCAGAGCCGGCAGCTGAGCGTGGCCTGAGCTCCCCCTGCCCCACACAGCCCCTCCTGCTCTGCCTGTCCCTGGCCCCACGGATCCGCAGTGCCAGGCTGGAGGGGAAGGGGGGGGTCTCTCAGAGCTCAGCTGTGCTGGGGAGCAGTTGCTTTTGCTCCCTTCCTTGCCAGCAGCATGGTTTGCAGAGCCCTGCTTTGGGAAGGTGCCACACCACAGAACCACAGTCACCAGCTCCCTCCCGTGCTGGGGCTGGGCTGGGGCATCTGATGGCAGTGGTGGCCCACTGGGGCTGGTGCCCGTGGTCCCTGCCCTCCAGCTGGGCTGGGGAGTGTGAGCTCGACCCAGGGCAGGCAGCTCTGGCAGGAGCACACGTGGGGCAGGCTGGGGTTGCAGGCGAGCAGGGGTGGTGAAGCTCTGAGAGCACCCAAGGCAGGCTGAAGTCTGTTGTTTCTCACCAGAACAGTGACACTGAGCCCCACCCCTCTGCTAGGTCTGACTTCCTCTGTAGTTAGTCTCTGCTAAAATCAAAGCCTTGTTTTGGTGGGGTGGGGAGGCTGGAGAGGAGCTGTCACAGCCTGGGGGAGTCTGGCCAGGTTTTCACAGGCTGTGTCCTCCCTCCCATTCCCCTGGGAATGAGGCACTGCCCTGCTCCCTTTTCTCACAGGTAACTTCGAGCAGGCCAACGAGGAGCTCAGAGCTGTCATCAAAAAAATCTGGAAGCGAACGAGTATGAAGCTTTTGGACCAGGTCATCCCACCCATTGGAGGTACATCCCCTGGGGGCACTGCCAGGGGCACTGCCAGGGGGGCACTGCCAGGGGGCAGAGCAATGCTTGGCCAAGGCCTCAGCTGCTCCAGCAACTTGGTTTGCTGTGATAAGCAGCATTGCCACGTTGGTTTCCTCCTCTCCAGATGATGAGGTGACAGTGGGGAAATTCTATGCTACCTTCCTCATCCAAGAGCATTTCAGGAAGTTCATGAAGCGGCAGGAGGAGTATTACGGGTACCGGCCCAAGAAGAACCCTGTGGAGATCCAGGTTGGTAGCACGTGGGTGGTGATGGGGTGGTGACCCCTCCTGGGGCAGGTGGGGGGTGGTGGAGACCTCTGCAGATCAGGGGAGAGGCTTTTCCCCAGCTCAGGAGCGTCCAGAGGGACTCAGAGAGCTCGAGCTGCAGTGACACGCTGGGGCCTCAGGCTCTGGGAATGAGGAGACCCCAGGGGAGCCAGCACTGAATTGGCCATGAGCACCCACCTCTGGGGGTGACCTTAGGCTCTGGGGTGCAGGTGGCTCCAAAAGCAAAGGAGGTTTTTGTGTTTCTGCCCTGCTGACTCCAGCTGCAGAGGGAGCTCAGCAGGGTGAGCTGACCAAGCACTTTTCAGACCTGGAACCTCCCACCAGAGACCCAAACGCTGCTCCTCCAGGCCTCTATCCACCTGCTCCCTCCATTCCCAAGTTCTTCTCCTGTTCCTCACCTTAGCAGTGTTGTGGATGGTTCTGCTGGGGTGGGATGGGAGAAGATTCATCTGCCTGGCCAGACAAGCTGGGAAGTCCCCAGAAGTCTCCAGCCCTCCTTACAGGGAGGAAATGGCTTGTAGAGATAAAAGGCCCCAGGTTCAAGGCAAGGAAAAGACCCAGGCCCCAGGTTGGGTGTCTCCTGGTCAGGGTCAAAGGGCAGCTACTCCTTGAAGCACAACAAGCCCAACCTTCTATCAGGCTGCTCTTGGCAAAGCTCTTGGCCCAAAGCTGTTCCACCAAGCACAGAGCAGCCAGCTGCAGGGTGACCCTTGTCCTGCCCCTGGTGGGAGACCTGGCAGAGCAGCAGGGCTTAGCTGGTGAGCGTGCTTCAGCAGCTTTCCCTCTCCAAAGCCCCAAGGGAGAGGGGTGGTGGGGCCAGGCCACGTCCAGCCATGCCTTCTTGTCCCCACCAGGCTGGGCTGAGGAGCATCGAAGAAGAAGCTGCTCCTGAAATCCATCGGGCCATTTCTGGGGACCTGACTGCTGAGGAGGAGCTGGAGAGAGCCATGGTGGCAGCTGCCATGGAGGAGGGGATATACAGGGTGAGCACAGCCCTGGGGGCACTGCTGGGGGTGCTGGTGCCTCCCAGCCCCTGTTCTGTTGGGCTGGGGCTGGCCCAGCATGGTGCCAGCAGCTGGAGGACAGCCCCTGGGGGGCATGGGGGGGCACAGGGCTGGATCAGCACTCCTGGCCTTTCCCTGAACATCCTGCTTCAGTCACCCTGGGCAACCTGCTCGCTGCCTCAGTTTCCCCCCTCTAAAGGCACCCTGCACATGTGCCTGGCAGGGCTGTGCTGGGTGTTGAGCCACAGGCCTGGAGAACCCCATCCTCACCTTCCCCAGGCTGCTCAGGGTAGCTCAGCTGGCAGCAGGGCAGGAACAGGTCCCCTCCCTGGGGGCCTTTGAGAGCCCGGGCAGCTGTGGGGTTGCTGTTACACCTCCTGCTCCCTCCAGAGGTGCCACCAGCTCAGGCTGTCCCCCAGAGGTGGCAGGGTTGGTCACACACAGGGCTGGCTGCTGCGTGACCAGCACCCCTCAGTGCCTCAGTTTCCCCATGTGGGTTTTTGAAACCACAGAGTCTTTGGGGCCCGAGCAGGGAGAGCACCATTCCCACTGGCACCCCCATGTGGGAAGGGCCCTGGGGAGCTCCAGCCCTCTCCCCTGATGCCCTCCCTGTTGGTGGCAGAGGACGGGAGGCCTGTTTGGGCAGGTGGACAGCTTCCTGGAGCCCAGCAGCCCCCTGCAGCCC